TTCACACTTGAAGCAATTAATTTGCAAAAATGTGAAATTGCAAGTTTATGTGAAAAATGAGCCAACCAAATTAAGCACCTATTATAACTTTTTAATCATGCTTAATAAGGGTTATTATTGCAGTAGATTAATGGTGTAACCATACACATAATCTAACATTAACATGCCATAATTAATCAAGGTTTAAAGATTTAAAAAATTTCGTCAAAAATGAAAAACTCCTCAAAAAACGTTTCTGGGTGGATTTTGGCTTCTGGACAGTCCATAAAGAGGGTCAAAACTGATTTAGAACATCGATTCCACCCAAAATTCACTAATTTTGGGTCGAAATCAGGATTCTATAGCCAAAATTAGTATAAATACGAGATTAAAACTAATTAAAACGAGCTTCTAATCTAATTAGAAAGCAAAACCAAAAATTTAAATCCATTTAAATCACCTTAATTAATTATTAGTTACAATAATTAAATGAGTGCGGCTCCGATACCGCTGTTGAGTTTCGTAGTGTCCGAAATTACGCGGAATGAAACCCTCTCAAAATCCGCACACAAATTAAAGTAACTAAACATGCATTTTAATTCATTAACAATCACATAATTAATTAACAAGGAGAGAGAAAGAAAAAAAAGGCGATCTTACCCTTGATGCGTGCTTCGCTCTTTCTAAGAGCTCGTACTTGAAAGTGTAAAGCTGCGCAAATGCACAAGCCTCAAACGACTCTCACCCTCGAGACCCGACCCGAACGACCTCTACAACGAAGCTTAGTCGGGGCTAGACCAAAACAACTTAGAGTATTAGAACTAAGATATTCCCTTCTTGGAGATCCCTTAAAGTTCACAACTCAAGTGTCCCTTCCCAATGCCAAATGATTAGTATTTATAGGAAGGGAGCCCTTGAATTCCAATCTCCCACCAATGTGGGAGAGTTGGTAAAATGCATTTTATCCAATTTAATTTAATTCAAAAATCAAATTGAAATGCAAGTCAATTAACAAACGACAACTGTCAAGTGGTGAGCAAGGGTTTAGGTGAGGACCACAAGGGAGGGGACAACCCTCCACTTGCTCCCCAAGCAAACCCTCACACAAGCTCCCACACGCACAAGCTGGCACACGCACATGTTGGCTGGCAGCCTGCCTTGGTTGCCAAGGCAGCCTCGCTGGCGCCTAGCACCATGGCTAGGCCTGGCCAACCAGCCCGCATATGCCTACGCACAGCCAGCATGCCAAGCACGCTATGCGGGCTGCTGCTGCGTTGCTTATGATAGGCCGCGCCTAGCTACTGCTATGCTTACTGCTGAATGCGAAGCCCAGCACGATAGCACTCTAGCACGCATAGTGCGCCAGCTGCTATCTTGCGTGCGACCAGATGCACCAGCCTTACAAACATGCTCGGCCAGCAAGCCTAGCACGCACATACATGCTTGGCTTGCAGCAAAGCCATGCATTGCGGTTGGTACCCTATGCTAGCCTAGCCTTCGCATGGCTAGGCCAATGTGAAGCTACAGCTTAGCTTAAACTTGTCATTTGCTTGATTTCTCGTCTTGTCGAATTCTAAATTCGATTCAACTTACGACGCTCGGTTTCGACGCTCTAAGCTCGATATCCGAAGTCTTTGTTCATAATACCCTAATGACTTTAATTCGTCGTTTCAGTTCGGTTACTCGATTGGGTGTGACCCGAAGGGTTCAGACAAGATTAAGCTGTAATATTAATTATGCATGAATCACTAGTAGAAAAAATGAAATAGGCACCCCCCCCCTTTAGCACCGGTTCTTGAAAACCGGTGCCAAAAGAAATGGGCGGGAGTAAAAAATTGAGAGTTGGCACCAGTTCGAACTAAAATCGGTGCCAAATCCTGTAATTAGCACCGGTTCAAACCGATGCCAACTTAAAAAATATAAAAAATAAAAAAAAATACTAGGAAAGAGAGTTGGCACCGGTTCGCCTTAAACCGGTGCCAATTATTGTAATTAGGACCGGTTTGAACCGGTGCCATTTAAAACAACAAAAGGCCGAGTTTAATTTTAATTCGTTATTTTTACATAACTCCTTCATTTCTTCTTCAATTCGTTTTTCATTCTCTCTTAGCTCGCTGAAATAAAATGCATGCCTCTCTCCTTCAATTCCTTATCTCTCATCTCTCATCTCGATCTCTTCTTCTCTCTCATCTCTGTTCTTCTTCTTTGTCGTGCTTCTCTTTCATCTGTTCTCTGATTCTCGTTCTTCTTCTTTGATCCCTCTCATCTCTGTTCTTCTCTCTCCAACCAAGCACAACAACCAAGCCGCCGCCGTCAACCACAACAAACATCGCCGCCGCCTAAAATCAAAAATTTGAGGTTAGGGTTTCTGGGTTTTAGGTTTTTCACGATTTTGGCTGGTTTTTCACGATTTCTGGGTTTTTCACGATTCTAGGTTTCTGGGTTTTGTGGGTTGAATCTGTGTAGGTGTATTTGTGCGAAATTGTTTGTTTTTAAGGGGTTTATTTGATCGATTTTTTTTCGATTTTTTGAGTTTATTTGTTCGATTGATTTTCGATTTTTTTGGGGTTTATTTGTTCTATTTATTTTTTGTTTTTTTGGTTGAATTTATCTGGGTTGAATTTTAGTGCCTTGTTTGATTTTGTGGTGGTTTTTTTGGGGTTGAATTTGAGTGATTTATCTTCTTTTGGGTTGATTTTTTATGTTGTTAGTAGCATTGTTACCTGATTTTATTGTTTTAATTTATGCAGGTTTGAAGTTTCTGATTTTTTTAATTTTCGGTTTGAAGGTCGTGAATTTGCTAAGTTTGAAGTTCAAAGTTTCTGGGTTGTAAATTGTAAAATTACAAATTCAGCAATTTTTCTGTTTTTTTTTTTAATAAATTGTAAAATAACAATTTATTTGATGAATATATCCTTGTTCGATTTTTTGTTTTGGATTGTATGCTGAAATTTTCATTGAAGGCTTAATTGCGAAGAAATTGCGAAATTTTTTTTTATTGTTTGAAGGCATAATTGGCACCGGTTAACCGGTGCCAATTGTAGTTAAAATTAAAAAAAAAAAAAAACAGTGCGGCACTTACACCAAAGCGTGTAGTTAGCACCGGTTAACCGGTGGCGAATGCCTTAGTTGGCACCGGTTAACCGGTGCCAAATGCCTTAGTTGGCACCGGTTTTGTACTGGTGCCAAATTTTCATGGATTTGGCATCCCTCAAATCCCCAACGGTTCAAAACCGGTGCCTTAGGGGGGGGGGGTTTGAACCGGTGCCCATTTATCTTATTCGCCTAGTGAATATTACTGATCGGAAACGGCCTCCAGCTAGGCATTCCAATCACTTGAACTCACTGAATAATTAGCTATCTAATAATTCCGAACCTTCTATCGAAATAATACACTTGTTCTAAGGACACCATTCTTTTGAATACCTTGTGCATGAGTAACTGGATTGGTAATACCATCAGGTACCTGGTTTTGTGCTACTGACTAATTTAAGGCGTCCGCACCAGACCTTCAACCCCCTCCGATTTTTCAGTGTCATTGTCAGGTTGTTTCTCCTGAAGTTTTTTTCTCAACCATTTCTAGTACTTCATCAACTCTTATATTCATCAATTGCAACATCTCTATCACAGTATCAACACTCTCCTAACGCACGGAAGCCTTCGAGAAAATTGGTTCGTATGATACCATAAGCTTCTGGTACTACCGCACTTCATCTGTCTTTAATGGATCATGGTAAGCAACTTTTACTCTTGTATGTTTCCTTTGAATGTCCTTCCTCCAACGTCAAAGAACATATTTCTTCGGAAAAATAGCTAGACCGTTAAGGTCATAAACGTGGAACATATGACGGCAAATAATGCCATGACACTTAAAATGTTTACATTCACAAGACGCCTCATAAGATTAAACATCATAAAGAACCCTATAGCATCTCCGAACCTTAGTCACACTTTCTTTCTTTACTCCTTTAGGCTTGATCTATACACTATCTTCATGAACAAACTCAATATTGTTCTCACAAATTTCTATTTGATCCGAGCAATGCACATACAAAGACTTGGCAAAATGACGTTACATTTCTTTGAATTTCGAATCGGTGTAGCACTTGCGGAACAACTTTTTTGTCGGGAAGTACATTGTCAAAATCCTGAGATACCGGAGTGTATTGGAGTTTGCAATTCTTTCAGATTCAGCCCGTATTTTCATAGCATTACAGTAACAAAGCACGAACTCCGACAAGGTAGTTTTCTTGTCAGCCTTTGAAAAAATGGTTGAAACTCTCCGAACATTGTGTTGTTTTCATTCCCGCCCAGAACAAATGCTTCAAATATGTTGGGATCCACATTTTCATAGGCCTTATTTTTTTTTTTACAAAACTCTAACTTAAGTACATGACAGTTGGTATTCATTAACCTACTCATACAAAGTCACAAAAGGATATTCACCAAAAGTTAGCAACTTGACAGTTTGCAAGGGATTTACACAAAACTTTGCATGCCAGGCCAGATCAATTTGACAGTTTGCAAGGGATTAAAACAAAACTTTGTATTCCATACCAGAGCAAATTGGCAATTTTTAAGAGATTCACACAAAACTTTGCATGCCAAACCAGATCAAATTGCCAGTTTGCAAGGGATTCACACAAAACTTTGCATGTCAGACCAGATCAAATTCACAGTTTGCAAGGATATTCAAAAAAGCTATTACAAAGCTATTACCAGATCAAATCCATACATCAGAGCAACAGCCCCAGACATCACAGCAACACAGAAGATCCAAATATCACAACAAACCAACTCAACAGACCAAAATTGACAGTTTGCAAGGACATCAAAGTAACTCAGTAGACCCAAATATCACAGCAAACCATACATTAGAGGATATATCAAAGAAAATAAGCAAAGCAAAAAATCAAGGCAAACCGATAAAAAACTAACCTAAAGACATACACCACCATAGCACAAAACAGGCACAAACTTTTTTTAATTATTTGATTATTTATTTAATCTATTCGCATACATTGGATTTCAGTACATTAGAAGGTGCTGTAACCAAACCTGTAAGCCAAGTATTGTCTTGCAGATTATAAAACTTTATAGTTTCTAAACACCGAGCATCAAATTCCTCTACATCTAAGGAACCATATATGATATATTCCAATTCATTTTTTATAGCATCTTACAACTCGAGCTTACCAAGGTACTTGTCGAACTTCTGAAGAATGTGCCGAATACACCACATGTGTGGCATGTTTCACGCATAGTCACATACACAGCTTTCCTAATCACAGGATCTTGATCGGTAATAATCGATATAAGAGCTTTACCCCCCCCCCAATACAATGCAGCCATGTCCTCATCACCCACTCGTAAGTCTCAACAGTCTCCCGAGAGATCAATGCACATCCAAGCAATATACTCTGGCCATGATGGTTGATCCCAATAAATACAACAAAGGGGAGGTGAAATTTGTTTGTTAGGTACGTATTGTCGAAATAAACAACATCTCCGAACTCCTCATAGGCAACTCTACTCCTAGCATCTACTCACAAAATATCCTGTGATGCACCATCCTTCCCAAACCTACAAAGGTGGAAAAAGTTCTGATTATCTGCACTCATTTTGTTAAAGTATTCAATCATACCATTTGCATCACCGTACCCTCTGTGAACTCCAACTTCTTATGCTGAGAAACTGCATTCTCCAAACCTTTCTTGGTAAATGCAAGCTCCTGAATTCCGTTACATTGTCAAGCAAAATAACTATAAATTTGGGATACCTTCACCCTAGACTTCCTTGCAACACATGTCTGATTAACCAAGTGTTTATATTTAACCATCAACTCATGCTTGCGATACATCGACACATCCTTGAACTTTCTTGGTGTGACAATGTGACCATCATGTTCCAACTTCAGCTTCCGAACCACCCAATTCCCTTCTTCGTTAACACTAGCATACAACTCTACAAGACATTTGCACTTTTTGGTTTTCCTTTTCACAAGTGTGTCCCCATCTTGCTCCAAACCTTCCCTGAGAGCATCTACTTTACGGTTCCTAGATGGTCTTCCATAGCACTCACAAGTCCACTTCGCATTCCTCTTCTCTTTACAACACTTCCCATCTCCCATATCTTTCTTCATCTTTATCCATCCAGACGCTGCCCGAACAATACCAAATTCTTTCTGCCTATCAAACCTCCAAAAATAACTATCAAGCTCATCCCAACTACCAAAAACCATGCCCACAGCAGGGGGTGGTACTTCCTCTTCCTCGCCAAAAACAGTGCTAACCATAACCCTCTTCTTTGGGGTCTTCATAAAGGAACCCCCCCCCCCCAACTTCATCCCTAACAACATCATCTTTTGGTCCAATTTCTAATCCCTCAAATTCTAATCCGTATTCTTCTGCATCGCCTTCTGACCCTCCTCTTCTGATCCCTCCTCTTCTTCCCCTTCTACATTTCCATTCACATCCTCTCCTATACCAGTTTCCTCCTCATATACATATATATCATTCTCACCGTCATTCCCATTAACATCATTAAAACCAGCCTACACAAAATATGTACCCATATCTCAATAACAAGATCATTGATAATAACCCAAGTACAGTCCATCAACAGCATCAACATTTCAGCATATAACAGGGTCATTATAACATCAATAGCATCAATTTTCACCATGTAATAGCATCATTATAACAACCTCATCAAATGTCAGCATAACAACATCAAATTTCAGCATATAACTAGGTCATCAAATAGCATCATTATACAATTAAATTGACTTCATAATCTTACAATTAAATTGGCCACAACAATTATAAACTTAAACAATCATTCTTTCAATTTTTCCACAACTACTCATAGTCTCATTTCTAAACTACAAGCCAAATCAAATATTGAATCAACAACATTCAAATTAGGTCATGTAATTTATATTACTCCCTTTCAACTCAATCACTCTTTTCCATTAACCCACATTATTAACAATTAAACCTGAAAATCCTAAAAATTAAATACAAAACAAACTTCAATCTGTATAATTACTGTAACACATATGCGACACTTACATTCTCACAATCGAATCGCAACTCCTTAGCGCAACCATGCCCTTCTTCTCCGTCGTCACCTAGTGCTTCAGCTAACTCGATGCCTAGAATGTCATCTAACCTCATTTTCATCCTCAATGTAGTTAATGTAGTATTACCAATGTCACAATTACGAAATTTTATGGTGTATATTCAACTACTAGTATGGAAGGTATTTCAATGCCCTCAGAATTTTTTTTCCATTCGCCATTGAAGAGTAAAGAGAAGAGTAAGTTACTATAAAATCTATTTTTTTTTTTTTTGGGTTGAAAGAGGTAAGTGGAATTCTCTATCAGAAAAATTTTATTTTCCCGTATTCATTTTGGTTTCCCCTGTATCTTTCTAATGCCCTTTATTTTTCCTTACCACCTGGCAGCTTGTCCCCACCACAACTTCAACTTTATTACTACATTTCCATCCTATATGCAACATTAGTAAATAGGCCCTATGCCCCAAGGGTTATGCCATCCACTTAGTCATGACTAGAGGGTCAAAATCGACCCAGCCCGAAAAAAAATCACCTGTTTTGAACTGTAACTGATCCGATTTGATCCGAGAAATTCGAGACCCAAACCAGATATGTAACAGACCTGAACTCAACTCGAATCCGAATTTCATCCGATTGAAATTACACCCAGCACAGATTTTGACGCGATCTAAACTTAACCCGAAACTAATTTGACCCGTAGAATACAAACCGAACCGGTTCTAACCCAATCTGAACTCAACCCAATCTAAAATTGACTAGACAAGTACCCGATTCACTCTGATCTGGTTTAACTCGAACTGATATTAACCCAACCTGATTTTATCCCGACATGATTTTAAACCAACCTATGATTTCAAACCAATAATAATTTTAAACCCAACCTAAGAACTCTAACTAATATCATATACAAATTGAATTAGTTTTTAGTAATATAGCAAACTACAGAGTAACAATACTCATAACCTCGTAAGATCGTACTATTGAAGAGTAATAAGAACCTTTAAAGATGACATTGTTTTGTTTCTATATCACCATATGTAGCTGTCATCTATTAATAATATGTCATTATTATTTATCGTCTCACTTGAATTCAATAATTATATTTTAATTAGGCTTAAAGATTAAAAAAAAAAAAAAAGGACACAAGAACTAATGTAATGAGAAACTAATACTCCGCAAGTGTTAATGAAACAATATGAAAAATGACACATGAATGACTTGATAGTGACTCAATAATAAGGTAATGACACTGTAATTACTTTATCTAAAAAATGACCTTATTTAAATATTGAATTTGGTCAACACAACCAAAATTCAGTCAAACACGAAAAGGATCTGAATCGGGATTGACCCAATATTGAATAAACCTTATTATCTTAACCAAACAACCAAGCGAACCGAAATCAACCAAACCGGAATCAACCCCACCCAAAGTCATTCAACCCAAAATTAACCCGGTCAAACCCATTTTTAACCCAATCAAATTTATTCGAACCGAATATGAATAGATTTGAAGTTGATCCAACCTAAACCCAACCCGACTCGACAGACCTTGACCCGAAAGTGACCCAACCTGACCTGACATTGAAACATATACTATCAATTACACAAAATCTATCCCTATATTTTTGTTAGGGAGAATGTAGTTTTAGCTTTTAGTCACGTCTTTGCTCAAACCATTAAACCTTCCACTTACAAAACTAACAAAGGTTCCATAATAAAATAAATTGTTAATAAAAACAACTCCTCTTAACTTATAAGATGCTATTTTTACTTTTTCTTTTTCCAATGTGGGACCACGCACATATAACTATATAAGTACGGGGGATTTTAAAGGGAATAATGTTATGTATATGTAAATACATAACAATAATTAGAGTATTCTAAAAATACAAGGTAGAAAGAGAAAAGAGGAGAGAGACAAGAAGAGAGAGGTCTGAGGTGGACCCTATCTATTTTTTGGTCAGATTGTCTCACGTGATTAGGGATCACATGCTGAATATTCCACTGAAAGCTTATATAATACCATTGAATCTTCAGTAGTACTATCTATACATAAATTTAGTACAACTAAATACATATATAATACCACTATATGTATATATAATATCACCGTATGTTCAGTTGTATTATATTATTATCCAATGATATCAGAATATGCATTCATTTGTACATATGTGTAATTATATAAATGCCCCTAGTTATGCATTTCTACATGCATAACATTCTTGCATTACTACTTCCCCATATAAGTACTTTGGTTTTTTAACAAATGTAAAATTTTATCATCAAAATAACCAATCAACAGATTGTTACAACATGAAATACTCTTCTGCACTTGCATCACTCACCGAAGTAACATTAAACATGGGGGCAAGGTAGAACCACCAATTCGCCAGAAACATAACATACACGAGCCAAGCACCCATCCAAACACTCAAAATAAGAGCTCACATCTCCAAACCGAAAGCATAATTAACACATTTAAACACATAAATAGAATAATAAAGGTTGCCCCTCTTTGGGTGGCTACTTCTGATCTACTGAAATATGTGAACCTAACTAAGATTTCACCGAAGAGAAATATCAGATAACTAATCTTAAACAACGCTCAGAAAGATACATAATTTACACCAGAAACTCGGCATGACTAAAAATCACCAAGCCTTTATGTCTTCATAGATAATAATTCTATTTTTCCTTCGAAAGAAGAGCTTGAAGAGAAGCAGGATCAGCGACAGGAGGCTTGCAGGAGAAGTTTTGGCATACGAGACCAACAACTTTATCCTCAGAGAAGCTACCTTTTGCCATATTTGCAATTTTTATGTTGTTAGCTTCCCAAAATTTTATCTCCTCTGGATCGCTTGGATCAATGTGGATCACCTACAAGTGTTCCACCATGGAAGAAAGCGTCACATTATGGAAGAAAATGTAGGAAGGAAATAAATGCATGGATTTGAATTTATAAATTAAGCACGTACTGTTTTGTTAAGATCATAAACTGCATGAGCAGCAGCCAACATGCGGTCAAACGCTGTTGAAGATTTATGTCCAACCAAAACCACCTGTTTTCTGGAAGGGACGGCAAGCATGTCAGCTGCACAACACATCAAAGGTACTGCCATTGGCCTATCTTTCAGTCTTATTTGGAATGTTGCCTGAAACCAGAAAGTTCACAAATTATTAATATAAAAAATAATAATAATAATAATAATAAAAAATAAAAAAAAAATAAAAAAAAATTATACATACAACACTTAAATGAAGGAGATCTTAGGTTTTTACCAGAAGCAGATCAGCATTCTTCCTGTAGCGATCAGATTGGCTGTCAGAAAAAATTGAGGCCAACCTGGCGAGGTTGATTGCTGCAACAGAATTGCCCGAAGGCTCAGCGCCATCATGATCTTCTTTAACACGCAAAAGAACAGAAGGATCTTCCCCTGGAGTGTTGAAATAGCCTCCACCTTCCTTGTCCATGAATAGCTCATCCTAAAATATTTCCAGCAATTAATAAGCAAATACAAAGAATCAATGGGTTGAACATCGGATATCTAAATTTAAGATAGAACTGAATAGTCATTTTTTGAGTTCCTTTCTCTTCCTTCTTGTTACAGATTTTTGGAAACTTGACATAAGATATACTACTTTAGCTAGTTTGCCTGAAACAACCTTAGTTAAAAAAACCAAGACGCCCCTCAAGGAATTCAGATTATTTAATTTAGAAAGAAACTAGAGCATTATTTTATAATTCAAGGCAGATTTCCTGATATAAATTTGTGACTTTTTGTTGTGTCAAAATGGCAAGGCTCATGAGCAATTTGAAGTACTTGCCTGGGTATCTTGCAACTCAGCAGCCCATTCCAGCCACCTGGTTTTGCCACCACACTCATAAAGATCTAGCAGTCCTGAAATAAGAAACGCATAGTCATCTAGAAAACCAGGGGCTTTAGCTGGCCCATTACGGAAGCTGTGTTGCAGTCTCTTTATTTCTTCATCATATAGATTCCTCCTTATGAAAGATGCTGCCTTTTCAGCCACTTCAATGTATTCACTGGGCTGAATAAGATCAATAAATTTTCAAAATCTGTAAGGTAACTTCAGAAACTAAAAACTAAAATATGCACCGATCAATTGATAACTAAGCGTACAACATTTCAAGTAGATTCCAATCTCGAGAGTAATGAAACCATCTAATATCTGAAACTAATCCCACTTGGACATACCCATGAGGCTGCTCACTACTCCATTCTCATATAATTGTGAGATAAGTAGGCAATTATACTGAGAAGAGTAAGCTAAATTGAACGCATGGAAAAGTGAACAACTCAAAACATCCTCTAGTAGCATGTCTCAACTTACACATGCAAACTTAGAGCAGCAAATATTTTTTATTTGATTTATTTTGTTGTGGTACAATTTATTTTTTTATTGTACAAATTGACGTATAATGTTTAAAATTCTCACCTGATTAACCAAAACATCGTCTCTTTCAACACTTTTTAAACTCTAGTGGATCTCTCAGTTGGATATGTAAAGATGAAGTTCTGACTACTAGGAAAGAATAACGAACTGATTACTTAGAATTTTTAGGTTCTTTAATTTCTTCTAGAAACAGTGTATGTGATTTTGAAAAAAAAAAATCGAGATATATACTTATATAAATAAAAATAGTTGAGATATTGAGAAATTTCTAGATAGGCATTTTGGCAACGTCTTTTTTAAGTATTCCATTTCTAATTGGCACTTCAATTACCTGGGATTTAGGCACAATCTTTTTAAATATTGTAAGTATATATTAGGCATAACTTTTTACAATAAATTACTTCAACTGTTTCAAAATAGAATTTCCATTTCTAATTGGCACTTCAATTACCTGGGATTACCTTCTCCCATAGGCAAAATTCCCAAGGTTAACTAGGATTTTAGCCCATACAACGTACAGGCTTATTATTGGTGTTTTTTCTTTTTGGGTTTTGTGATTTTGATTATTGAGCGTTATTTGTGTTTGGAAAGGAAAATTGGGGTAAGATACTTTGGTGCATGTAGTGTATTCAATTATTAAATTGCATTGAGAGATGAGTGGGGAAATACCAATAAATCATTATGGGGTAATGTGTAACCGAAAACATAATTATTAAAGAAATCAATTTTTTGCGAATTTAATTCAAATGAGGCTTAAAAAAAGCTGGAGGCACTAAAATTAAAGAGAGAAAAGGAAAAGGTTGAATTGAAGAGGGGAGATGAAGATGAAGTGTGCGTGAGAGATGAGTACAGTTGGTTTGGATTATTGTGGGGTATTCTGTAAAAAGAAAGTACAAGTGTAATGAAAGATTTAAGAAAGATAGTGTAGTAAAAAAATTATAAATGTAAGAAGACACATGGCACATTGGGTTGGAAAAGAGAAGATGAGAAAGTATAATAGGATGGAGGCATGTGTCTTTCCCAGTTTGAGTTTTTAAATACCAAGTATAGATATAGATGTGCCAAATCAAGAGTGACCTTAT